GAGTTTGGAAGTTTACCTTCTTCTGCAATTTTCTGGAAGAGTTTGAGTAAGATAGGTGTTAGCTCTTCTCTAAATTTTTGGTAGAATTCAGCTGTGAAGCCATCTGGTCCTGGGCTTTTGTTTGCTGGAAGATTTCTGATTACAGTTTCGATTTCCTTGCTTGTGATCATTTTGTTAAGATCTTCTATTTCTTCCTGGTTCAGTTTTGGAAAGTTATACTTCTCTAAGAACTTGTCCATTTCTTCCAAGTTATCATATACTCTTGTAGGTTATTTTAAACATAATAGTTCGTACCTCTTAATCCCCTACTCCTGTCTTGCCCCTCCCCACCTCTCTCCCCCCACTAGTTTGTTCTCTGTAAGTCGGCTTCTTTCTTGTTATAGTTGTTAGTTGTATTTGATGAAGCAGTTTTTGATGCCACATATTACCTTGCACCAAGATCATCTTCTCAAGTGCCCGTCTTCTTTGTAATTAAAAAAACCCAAGCTTGTTTATTTATTTGTTGTTGGTTGCACTGTGTCTGCGTTGCTGCCGGTGGGCTGTCTCTAGTTGGGGCAAAAGGGGCTCCTCTCCAGCTGTGTGTGTGCCTCTCATTGTGGTGGCTTCTCTTGTTGCAGGGCATGTGCTCTAGGGCGTGTGGGTTTGGTAGTTGTGGCCCAAGGGCTTCAGTTGCCCCACGGCACATGGGATCTTCCCGGCTCAGGGACTGAACCCGTGTCCGCCATGTTGCCAGGTGGGTTCTCAACCTCTGGACCACCAGAGATGTCCTTCTTTATAACTCTTAAGAAACTGTTTCTTGTGTATTTGTCTTCTTTCTTCCAACCTTTTCTTATTTATTCATTTGAAATGATGAAAACTAAAGAGGTTATTTATTTAGGGTTAGTTTGAAAGCCTGAAAAGGTTGGTTGACGTTGGAGGTGCATCACTGTTCACACTCTCACTTCTCTTTTCTAGGAAGAATATAAAACAACAGCCTTGTGAAGTCATTGTTGGAGCCCAGTGTGGTAATGCTGTGTTACGAGGAGCCCATGTCTATGTCCCTGGAATCGTGTCAGCCTCAAAATGTGAGTATAATGTTTAGGTTTCTCTATAAAACAGCCACTAACATTTATGTGTATCATCATATTGAAAATTTATTAAATCCTCACTCAGTTGCATTTCAAATTTGCTTTAACAAAGATCTTTTCCAAGTTCGGCATTTAGTATAGCCCATCGAGGTGTGTATCTGAGAAGGACTAACGAATCAGGCATCCGTGTGTGGATTTTCTGCCCATTTCTTTTATTCCCTTTGAGGATGTGTGTGATGATGTCAGAGGATCATGACTGATGAAAAGAGTGGACGATGTCAGTGAAATTTTGTTTTATGTTCTTTACTCAATTGTGCTGAAACCTCAGGCTGCTGACCTGTTAATTACAGGGGGAACATTCCAAGTCTGGAATCTTAATATTGGGATGAAACTCAGTATTCTTAATTTACTCTTTTAAGGAATGTTAGATTTGGGGAAAATAATTGAAATAGAAGATACCTTTCCTTTTCTGTTCAGCTAAAGGCTTCCAGCTGAGGTTGGATGTTTTCTGGGTTTTTTTTTTTTTGGACCCTCGCAAGGCATGTGGGATATTAGTTCCCAGATTGGGGGTTGAACAGGTGTCCCATGTATTAGGAGTCTTAACCACTGGACAGCCAGGGAAGTCCCTGAGGTTGGATGTTTCGAAGATTATTCTGCATCTTTGTTTTCCTAAGGAAAAAAAAGTAGATTTATTGTTGTCAAACATTTGAAAGTAAACAGTTGTATTTTCTGTCAGAAGTTATAGTGAGACTATGAGCCAGTTTAGACTGCTTCTTGTCCACTACTGATGCCCGTAGGCCTCCCCAATCTTAAAACTTGAAGAATTTTCATGGTTCTGCCAGTGTCAGTGTAATATGACTTTCTTCTTTTCTCTAGTTATGAAAGGTGGAGATGATGTTTCCGTATACTCTGATATTAAAGGCAAATGTAAGAAAGGAGCCAAAGAATTTGATGGAACAAAAATATTTCTTGGAAACGGAATTTCTGAACTAAGTCGCAAAGAGATCTTCAGTGGGCTGCCTGAACTGAAGTATGTCAGCAACTGTTGCGTTGGGGAAAATAAGCATCCCTTTTGTGGTTCAAAGAAAATGTAAAATAATGTAAAAATATGTATAATTGCATTATATGACTAATTTTTTTTTGTTATAAGTTTAATTGGAAAATACTTGTTTAACACATACTGCCATTTTTTGGGTGGGGGGAAATATCCTTTTAGTTAAAAGCATAAATGCTCAGATGAGGGAGTGTATTAAGTTGAAAAGTTTTGCATCTTTGATAACATTATTTATCTTGATAAAGGATGAATTAGATGGCCTCTCCAGATCTTTTTTTAACAGTCTATGTGATAAAAGCTTATAGTCTTAATATTAAAAAGAAAAAAAATTTTAACTAAAAAATTTACCAGGCAGCCAGGACTCACGTGAATACTTGTGGTTAAAAATGAATGTTTGGATTTACTCACACCTCACTTTTATTATGTTTTAATTCAAAGAACTTGTTTGTTTACTCCCACGCTGGGTCTTCATTGTGGTGCGCGGGCTTCTCGTTGCGGTGGCTTCTCTCGTGAGGAGCAGCGGTCTAGGCGCAGGGGCTCAGCAGTTGCAGCTCTCAGGCTGCAGAGCGCAGGTCAGTAGCTGTGGTGCATGGGCCTAGTTGCTCTGCGGAACGTGGGATCTTCCTGGATCAGGGATCGAATCTGTGTCCCCGACATTGGCAGGTGGTTTCTTGTCCACTGGGCCACCAGGGAAATCCCACTCACCTGAATTAGAACAAGTTAGTTTAAAATCATCTCTGGTTGCTACAAGTGAAAGTTGCTCAGTCGTGTCCAGCTCTTTGCGACCCCGTGGACTATATGGTCCATGGAATTCTCCAGGCCAGAATACTGCAGTGGGTAGCCTTTCCCTTCTCCAGGGGATCTTCCCAACCCAGGGATCGAACCCAGGTCTCCCGTGTTACAGGTGGATTCTTTCCTAGCTGTGCCACCAGGGGAGCCCAGGAATACTGGAGTGGGTAGCCTATCCCTGCCAGCAGATCTTCCTGACTCAGGAATCGAACTGGGGTCTCCTGCATTGCAGGTGGATTCTTTACCAGCAGGCACTAAACAAATTAAATCTGTGTATAATCCAGTTTCTTACAATTTTTAAAATTGAAATATAGTTGATTTACAGTGTTGTGTTCATTTCTACTATACAGCAAAGTGACTCAGATATACATATGTACTTATTCTTTTTTATGTTCTTTTTCCATTATGTTTATTACAGGATATTGAATGTAGATCCCTGTGCTATACAGAAGGACCTTGTTGTTTATCCATCCTGTATATAAAATTTATATCTTTTTAAAAAAATTTTATTTATTTGTTTGTTTACTTCTGACTGCACTGGGTCTTGCTCACTATGCACGGGCTTTCTGGAGTTAGGCAAGCGGGGTCTACTCTGCAGTTGCAGGGTGTGGTGACTTCTCTTGCTGTGGAGTGCGGGTTCTGGGGCACTCGGGCTCAGTAGCTGCGACGAACAGGCTTAGTTGCTCCACAGCATGTGGGATCTTCCCGGACCAGGAATCGAACCTCTGTCCCCTGCTTTGGCAGGCAGATTCTTAACCACTGGGCCACCAAGGAAGTCCCAAAACTTACATCTCTTAATCCTAAACTCCCAATCCACCTCTTCCCCCAACTCCCTCTTGGAAACCACAAGTCTGTGAGTCTGTTTCTGTTTTGTAGGTAGGTTCATTTGTGTCTTTATTTTTGCTTAGTATTTTCAGGCTGTTTCAGAAATTCTGTAGACAGCTCTGTTACTCCAAAGTTGACAGCTAATGGAGACATGCTGAAAGCTGTGAATTTATTCGAAAGAGAGCCACTTACCTGATTCCTGGGACAGTTTTTCATATTTCAGCAACTGGAATTTATAGTTGATATTAATTCTTCTAAAGACATAGGCTATTCCCTCCGTCTAGAGGTAGCAATACTTTCCAGATGACCAGAAACAAATAAATTCTTCTTGGATGTGCTTCTGAATATGAAGATTATGCATACATCTATGTGTTAATCTTTGGGTCTGTAATAGGGAGTTGATAGTTTGACTGCTTCCTTTAGTTTATTATTAGTGGCACACATTTCATCCTCTTATTTGATGTGGTGATTCTAGTAATTAAGTCCACAGACTTCTAAGTACTGTTTTCTTTGTTGGTAGGAGTAGAATGTCACCATCTTTCAAGAAACTGTTGATTTTTAGGAAAAAAATTTAATTTTTTTTGGAGTATAATTATATTTACAATGTTGCATTAGTTATAAATGTACAGAAATGTGATTTAGTTCATATATCTATTCTTTTGATTCTTTTCCCATGTAGATTATAATAGAGTATTTAGTAGAGTTCCTTGTGCTCTATAGTAGGTCCTTGTTGATTATCTGTTTTATATATAGTAGTGTGTATATGTTAATTCCAGCCTCCAATCTGTCCCTCCCTGTTATCCTTCCCCCTGGTAACCATATTTGTTCTCTAAGTCTGTGAGTCTGTTTCTGTTTTGTAAATATGTTCATTTGTATCATTTTTTTTTAAGATTCTGCATATAAGTGATACCATATGATATTTGTCTTTTGTCTGACTTACTTAGTATGATAATCTCTAGGTTCATCCATGTTCTTGCAGGTGGCATTATTTCATTCCTTTTTATGACTGAGTAATATTCCATTGTACACACCCACCCACCCACCCCTCATCTTCTTTTTCCATTGCTTTGTTGATGGATATTTAGGTGCTTCCATGTCTTGACTGTTGTGAACAGTGCTGCAGTAAATACTGGGGGTGCATGTATCTTTTCGAAATATGATTTTCTTCAGATACTATGGCCAGGAGTGGGATTGCTGGATCACATGGTGGCTCTATTTTTAGTTAGTTTTTTTAAGAATATTTATTTTGTATTGGGGTGTAGCTGATTAACAACGTTGTGATGGTTTCAGGTGAACAGCAGAGGGACTCAGCCATACGTATACATGTATCCATTCTCCCCCAGACCCCCCCTCCCATCCAGGCTGCCGCTTAACACTGAGCAGAGTTCCGTGTGATACTCAGTAGGTCCTTGTGGTTATCCGTTTAAAATGTGTACGTGACTGTACCAGTCTCCCTAACTATCCCTTCCCCCCCGGCAACCATAAGTTCATTTTCTAAGTCTGTGAGTCTCCTTCTGTTTTGTAAGTTTATTTGTATCATTTTTTTTTTTTAGATTCTACATAAAAGACATGCATATCGTAATTCTTCTTCTCTGTCTGACTGACTTCACTCAGTATGACACTCTCTAGGTCCATCCATGTTGCTGCAAATGGCATTATTTCATTCTAGTTAATGGCTGAGTGATATTCCATTGTATATATGTAACACTTTTTCTTTATCGATTCTTCTGTTGTGGACATTATAGTTTTCTAAGGAACTTCCATACTGTTCTCCAAAAGTGCACCAATTTACATTCCTACCAACAGTGTAGGTAGAAGGGTTCTTTTTTCTGCACCCTCTACAGCATTTATTGTTTGTAGACTTTTTTGATAATGGCCATTCTGACCTGTGTGAGGTGATAGCTCATTGTAGTTTTGATTTGCAGCTCTCAAGTAATTAGTGATATTGAACATCTTTTCATGAGCTGTTTGGCCATCCATATGTCTTTGGAGAAATGTCTGTTTAGATCTTCCCATTTTTTATTGGGTTGTTTGCTTTTTTGATATAGAACTGCATGAGTTGTATACTTTGGAGATTAGTTGCATCTTTTTCTGCCATTTTATTGGTTGCCTTTTTGTTTTGTTTATGGTTCCCTTTACTGTGCGAAAACTTTTGAGTTTATTTAGGTCCCATTTGTTTGTTTTTGTTTTATTTTCATTACTCCAGGTGGTGGATTCAAAAAACTATTGCTGTGATTTATGCAAAAGAGTGTTTTGCCTATTATTTTCTCTATAGAGTTTTGTAGTATCCAGCCTTACATTTAGGTCTTTAATCCGTTTTGAGTTTATTTTTATATATGGTGTTAAATATATTCTCATTTCATTCTTTTACATGTTGCTGTCCAGTTTTCTCAGAACCGCTTATTGAAAGACTGTCTTTTCTGCATTATATATAGTCTTGCCTCCTTTGTCATAGATTAATTGACCATGGGTGTTTGGATTTATTTCTGGGCTTTATGCCCTGTTCCATTGATCTGTAAGTCTGTGTTGTGCCAGTACTAGACTGTTTTGATGACTGCAGCTTTGTACTATAGCTTGAAGTCAGGGTGTCTGATTCCTCTGGTTCTGTTTTTCTTTCTCAAGATTGCTTTGGCTCTTCAGGGTCTTTTGTGTTTTTCTGCACAGATTTTAAAAATATATTTATTTATTTACTTACATATTCATTTGGTTCACTAGGTCTTAGTTGTGGCATTCGGGTTCTAGTTCCCTGATAAGGGATTGAACCTGGGCTCCCTGCCCTGGGAGCATGGAGTCTTAGCCACTGGACCATCAGGGAAGTCCCTGCATACAAATTAAAAAGATTTATTGTTTTAGTTCTTTGAAAAATGCCATTGGTAATTTGACAGGAATTGCATTGAGTCTGTAGATTGCCTTTGGTAGTGTAGTTATTTTGGAAATATGTTGAAAATATTTCTAACCCAAGAATGTGGTATTCTTTCCATCTGTTTGTGTCATCTTTGATTTCTTTCATCAGTGTCTCATAGGTTTCAGAGTACAGGTCTTTTGCCTCCTTAGGTGAGTTTATTCCTAGGTATTTTATTCTTTTTGATGCAATGGTAAATGGGATCATTTCCTTCTCTTTATAATCTTTTGTTGTTAGTGTATACGAATGTAAGAGATTTCTGTATATTTATTTGGTACCCTGTATATTTATTTGGTACCCTGTACCCTTATGGCAGAAAGTGAAGAGGAACTAAAAAGCCTCTTGACAACTGTGAATGAGGAGAGTGAAAAAGTTGGCTTAAAGCTCAACATTTAGAAAACTAAGATCATGGCATCTGGTCCCATCACTTCATGGGAAATAGATGGGGAAACAGATTGGA